ACAAGCGGCCAACGAAGTATTTGTTTGTAAAATGTAGCGAAAGTGTTCATAATAGCGCTAAGCGCCATTTTGTGTTTGATGTATTTGTACTGTTTTCACTTGTGTACAGTTCTCACGGCGTTAAAACGTCAAAGGTGCGAAAGACAAAGAAAACGACCCTAAGAATAAAACACCCGTTCTAAAGAACCAACCTGTGTCTGTTGTGGAAAGAGCTACAGTGAGAACTCTCCTGCTCGACGCGGGTAGGAGGGACAAGGAGACCGATGCGAGTGACGATTTGACGAGGATACAGCGCATCAGATAAGCACAACCCATAAAACAGTGTCGGCATAAAGATTGCAAGCAACGGTGATTAGACTGAGTTGAAAGTACAACATTTCAAGCTAAAATCAGAAAGTGCTCTGCCACAACCGTCAAGTTAAGGTGGTTAGAGAAGTGATTAAACTTGGAAATTGCAACAAGGACTTAAATCTAATTTCCCTGCTTACTGTGCTCAGCCTACATGTTTTGGGGACGAATTTAATGTGCTGATGTTTATTTGTTAAGTGTGAAAAGGGTTATTACAAAGGAAATTAAGATTCTACAGGTTTGTGTTTATAAGAAGGAACTAAACATAAGAACAATGCAAGTTAAGTTTAAAGGAAACTCTGCTAATGTGAAAAAATGTATAGTGCAAAGATAAATGATTCATTAATTAATTCAGTTTATACTCTCTGAAGTAAAGATTTTGTATTGCATTATACACTGTCATTTACAACGATTTATTTCTTGTTTTGAAATTTAAGCCATTTTGAAGTTTAGTTTAAATAAGTTTAAACGTTGATACAGTTTTGGATACAATCTTTATGTCTGTATTTGAACATCTTGATTTCCTACACAAAATTCAGTTATTAACTTTCTGACTATTCACATTTAAACATATTGATAAATTTAAGCTCATTAGTTGCATACATTCTACAGCAATTCAAGATATCTCAGCATGTCTGACACACGTGCAGAGGCTAGCAGTAAACATGTAAATTTACCTGCCCTACCTGAAGTTACAGATTCCATACCTGTGGAAATAGGAGGGCTGCGAAGAAGTGAAAGAGTCAGAATTCTAACAGAAAAGGGAAGAGAACTTAAAAAAATAAAGTTAAAGGGTGTACAACGACAGTACAGAATGATCTATGAGAAACGGAAGTATCATGCAAGACTAGGCAAGGAAATATTGTCGGATAAGGCTTCCCAAGATGAGCTGAATGTGCTAATTGAGAAGATAGAAAGCAGCTGTTCGGAGTTAAAGGCCATTTATGAATAGCAGACTGCTGAACAAGACCTGCGACACAGGATTGATGCATGCATATCACTTTCAGGATTTATTGTTAGAAGAGCACAAAGGCAACGTGAAGGACATGTAGCAGATGTAGAGAAAGAACCTTGGCCTGATGTTGGATCGATCTTGGACTCGGGCTCCTTATCAAGATCACGGTCTCATTAATCAAAATGCTGTTCAACCCATTCTAGCATTCACTCAGTCAAAAGAAACGAAGCTGTGGCTGAAGCTGTTGCATCTCAGGAAGTCTTGGCAGTTTTGGAGGAACAAGAAAGGGAAGCATCAGAACTTCAAAGGCTAGAGGTTGAAAGTAGACAACGTTTAGCACAATTTGAATTTGAGGACCTGGCTAGTCAACAAGCAATGCAGGACAAGCGAAGAAAGCTTGAACCCTTAGAAGAAGTGAAGAAGTTGAACGCTGCCAGAGCTCGAGTAAAGGTCTATGATCAAGTGGAAGGAAATTTTGATGCGATTTATTCGCTGCATGATGCTGAATCAGCTGGAGAACTTCAAGTTCTTACTTTCACAAGTCCTCCTTTTATTCCTCAGTCTCTGCCAGCCATGACCCAAGAGCTCCAAGCCTCAAGTCCTCCATTCATTCCTAAATCCTTACCAGTGTAGGATCTATGTCTCACAACGGACCCACCTACATGATGGAGACACACATCAAACCCTCACATTCCATTGAGACAAATCGAAGAACTCCTATCCAACAGATGCAGTCGTAAAACTCATGCAGGGTCAGTTTAAGAGACTTTATAGACGTATCAACATGGTACTATAGGTGTCCTCATATAAATGAGAGCCTCTGGTTAATGTATGCACGCTCCACCTTGCAAGAAGCCGATTGGAAGGCAGCGTCAGGGGATGGACTTATGCCACAGAGCAAAAACCCAATGCAGGACAGATTAGTGCTATCAAAACCTGAATCAATAATAATAATTAATTCCCTTACAACTGAGTTAAAATTCCTTACACCAGTTACAAGTCAAGTTCATAATGCACAATCTCTGCAAAGGGCATCTCAAACTCCTTCAGCTTCAATGCTTATGCCTCAATTGCAAAATAGCTCTGATTTGGTCAGTGCACTAGAATAAGCTATGAGTGCCAATCGTTTTCCAGTGCCAGAGCCTGCATTGTTTACTGGAGACCCTTTAAAATTCAAAGACTGGCACCTATCTTTTGAAACATTAATTGACAGGAAGAATATTCAGAAGAACGAAAAACTATATTACTTAAGAAAGTACTTAGATGGTGCTTCAAAGATTCAAAGAGTTTTTAGACTTTCTGATCTCGCTTGCAATCCTATATCTTCATTACAGGCACTTTGGAGTGTGGAGAGTGGGAAACCAAAACATTCACGAAACCAAACCATTCAAGCAAAGACACTGTACACAAACGTGGCACAAAGCACCATCTCATCATGCACCCTTTGTAAAAGAAGAGGACATGTCTTAAGTAAGTGTAGAAAGTTCATTGAGAAGACAGTTCAAGATCGTGTCAAGTTTGCATGTTCAGAGCGACTTTGCTTTGGATGTTTGCAGACTGGTCATCATTCAAGAAGATGTGATAATAAGAGCACATGTGAAAAGTGTCAGAAGAGACATCCTACATGTCTGCATGATGGCAAGTTCAAAGAAGTATCAAAGTCCTAAACCTTCTAAAGAAGATGAAAGTTCAAAGGAAAAAACTGATGACGGAGAAAAAGCTGCAGCAGCAATTACCAATGCAGTCCGACAAGTAGATTCAAATACACAAACATCTACAATCATACCAGTCCCACTGCCATCAGTTTTTACACAAGAGTGCTACATTTCTTCTACACATTTCTACAGACATAATTAGGGCACTTGAATTAAACTTCACAGATCACAGTGCAGATGATAATCCAGTTTCTCAGGAAAACATTTTGTTCTTGTCCAAGGTGAGGAAAGGTATAAGACAAATAGTGAAAAATTTAAGGGGGTCTGAATACTTTCCATACCCACTGTATCTTCATTACAGGCACTTTGGAGTGTGGAGAGTGGGAAACCAAAACATTCACGAAACCAAACCATTCAAGCAAAGACACTGTACACAAACGTGGCACAAAGCACCATCTCATCATGCACCCTTTGTAAAAGAGGAGGACATGTCTTAAGTAAGTGTAGAAAGTTCATTGAGAAGACGGTTCAAGATCGTGTCAAGTTTGCATGTTCAGAGCGACTTTGCTTTGGATGTTTGCAGACTGGTCATCATTCAAGAAGATGTGGTAATAAGAGCACATGTGAAAAGTGTCAGAAGAGACATCCTACATGTCTGGATGATGGCAAGTTCAAAGAAGTATCAAAGTCCTAAACCTTCTAAAGAAGATGAAAGTTCAAAGGAAAAAACTGATGACGGAGAAAAAGCTGCAGCAGCAATTACCAATGCAGTCCGACAAGTAGATTCAAATACACAAACATCTACAATCATACCAGTCCCACTGCCATCAGTTTTTACACAAGAGTGCTACATTTCTTCTACACATTTCTACAGACATAATTAGGGCACTTGAATTAGACTTCACAGATCACAGTGCAGATGATAATCCAGTTTCTCAGGAAAACATTTTGTTCTTGTCCAAGGTGAGGAAAGGTATAAGACAAATGGAAGATCGCCACTTTGAACTCCCACTTCCTTTCAAGACAGACACACCTAGTCTCCCAGATAACAAACAATGTGCAGTTCATAGTCACCTCATTGGAGCGGCGACTGAGAAAAGATAAGCAGTATTATGAGAATTATGTCGATTTCATGAATGACATCATAACTCGAGGAGATGCTGAGAGGGTTCCAAGGTTGGAACTTGAGAACCAACCAGCATGGTATATTCCGCACCATGGAGTCTATCACCCCCACAAACCAGGAAAGATCTACGTGGTTTTTGATTGTTCAGCATGTTTCCATGAAACCTCTCTGAATGATCACCTCTTGACTGGTTCAGATCTGACCTACACATTAGTTGGAGCGCTGTGTCGATTTAGAAAGGGTCCAATAGCCATTATGTGTGACATTGAAATTGTTTTTCATTAATTTCATGTTGCAAAGGAACAGAATGAAGGTACACCTTTTTGGGGCAGCTTGATCCCCTGGCTGCTCCAACTTTGGACTGAAGTACCTAGCATCGCAGGGTCATGGAAAGTTTAGCGAAGAGTCCATCAAGTTTATCCAGAGAAGCTTTTATGTGGATGATGGCTTAACATCGTGAAGTCATCTGCCGAAGCAGTACATCTTGTGAAGGAGGCAAGAGCCTTGTGTAGAACCGGAAACCTTAGACTCCACAAGTTTGTGTGCAATGATGAGGAAGTGATTTCTACAGTACCACCTGAGGAATGTGCTCAGACCAAAGATCTCGATATGGCCTTAGGAGAGCTTCACATCGAGCGAGCACTAGGAGTTCAGGGGTGCGTTGAAGCAGATTAATTCCAATTCAGAGTTGTAGTCAAGAAAAATCCACTCACAAGAAGAGGAGTTCTCTCAACGGTGGCCTCTGTATATGATCCACTAGGTTTGTTGCACCTTTTCTACTAGTTGATAAACAGATTCTTCAGGAATTGTGTAAAGATAAAGTAAGCTGGGACGAAGATCTCCCCGAGCATATTCTACCACAGTGGGAGTCGTGGCTTCGAGACTTGCCTCACTTGGCTGTCCTGAAGATGTGCTCAGACCAAAGATCTCGATATGGCCTTGGGAGAGCTTCACATTGAGCGAGCACTTGGAGTTCAGTGGTGCGTTGAAGCAGATGAATTCCAATTCAGAGTTGTAGTCAAGAAAAATCCACTCACAAGAAGAGGAGTTCTCTCAACGGTGGCCTCTGTCTATGATCCGCTAGGTTTTGTTGCACCTTTTCTACTAGTTGGTAAACAGATTCTTCAGGAATTGTGTAAAGATAAAGTAAGCTGGGACGAAGATCTCCCCGAGCATATTCTACCACAGTGGGAGTCGTGGCTTCGAGACTTGCCTCACTTGGCTGTCCTGAAGATTCCAAGAAGCTATCTACCATCAGATTTTGATGAGGTTGTTTCTTTTGAGCTTCACAACTTTGCTGATGCCAGTTTCATTGGATACGGTGCATGTTCATATCTCAGAGCAGTGAGTGAAACAGGGCAGATCAGTTGCTCACTCGTCATTGGGAAGGCCAGAGTAGCCCCTACAAAGCTAATGGCTATACCAAGGCTTGAATTATTGGCAGCTGTGACTTCAGTCCATAATGGAGATGATGCGAAAAGTGAGCTAGAGATTGAAAACTTGCAAGAATATTACTGGACTGACTCTAGATTAGTCTTCGGCTATGTGAACAATGATGCCAGGAGATTTCACACATTCGTAGCCAACTGAATTCAATGAGAGTTTGCAGGACTGTTAGGAGAGGTGGAGGTGTAGCTGCTCTATTTAAATATGTCTATCAATGCAAGAAAGTGTCATTTGGTCAGTACTTGTCTTTTGAATATCTAGGGATTGTGTTGAAAGGTGCTCCACGCATTCTGTTTATCATTATTTACAGGCCTCCAAAATACTCTCCAGCCTTTGCTGAAGAGTTCACAGAAATTCTATCAATGATTTCCTCAGAGTTTGACTGTTTTACTATTGCAGGTGATTTTAATATTTACATAGATAATGCAGAAAACAAAACTACAAAAGAAATTGTAACTGTTTTAAACACTTTTGACCTGATTCAGCATGTGCACGAACCCATGCACTATATTTTATGTATAATCGTTTTCTATTCTTAACCGTTTTAAATTCATTTTAAACCTCTTAAATAAATGTTTTAATCATTTTCAAAGTTTTTAAATTCCTTGTTTTATTGTTGTTATTATTTTTTTATTTTCTTTTATGTAAAGCATTTTGAATTACCATTGTGTATGAAATGTGCTATATAAATAAACTTGCCTTGCCTGCCTTGCCTTGCATACAACCCTGTCGACCACGCCTCAAGAGGGCTTAGTGATGAGATTTAAACTGGCTGAAAGGGCCTGACATTCTGTGGCAGAGAGATCTTCCACATGAAGTGGAAGTAAAGCATTTTGAATTACCATTGTGTATGAAATGTGCTATATAAATAAACTTGCCTTGCCTTGCATACAACCCTGTCGACCACGCCTCAAGAGGGCTTAGTGCAGCTCAGCTGAAAGATTCATACTGGCTGAAAGGGCCTGACTTTCTGTGGCAGAGAGATCTTCCATGTATAATCGTTTTCTATTCTTAACCGTTTTAAATTCATTTTAAACCTCTTAAATAAATGTTTTAATCATTTTCAAAGTTTTTAAATTCCTTGTTTTATTGTTGTTATTATTTTTTTATTTTCTTTTATGTAAAGCATTTTGAATTACCATTGTGTATGAAATGTGCTATATAAATAAACTTGCCTTGCCTGCCTTGCCTTGCATACAACCCTGTCGACCACGCCTCAAGAGGGCTTAGTGATGAGATTTAAACTGGCTGAAAGGGCCTGACATTCTGTGGCAGAGAGATCTTCCACATGAAGTGGAAACGGTGGGAGAAATAGTAATGACTGGCCCTGAGCTTCGCAAGGCCCACATTCACACAATCAAGACAAAATAAGTGGATTCAATGGTGAATCGCGTCACTAAATTTTCTGACGGGTCTCGAGTAGTGAGGACTGTTGCCAGGCTGAAGAGGTTTGTAAGAGAATTCAAAGGAGTTCAACAAAGAACAAATGAAGCAACCAGTCTTGAAGTAAGAAAGGAAGCAGAAATCATCGTCTAGTTCAAGAAGAGGCCTTTGCTGAAGATATTCAAAGGTTCAAACTCCAAAAGGATGGCACCCTGAACAAACGCAACAAGTTACATCAGTTAAATGCTTTCTTGGACAAAAATGGTGTCCTCAGAGTGGGAGGACAGTTATCGCAATCAACCTTGCATCTTGACATAAAGCATCCTGCAATACTTCAGAAGAAATCTCATTTGTCAGCCTTAATCGTGAAACATCATCATGAGCGTGTATAGCACCAAGGAAGAGGTATGACCATGAATGAGTTACGTGCAAATGGAATATGGATCTTAGGATGCGGAAGTGTGGTTTCTTCACACATTTACAAATGTGTAAAATGTAGAAGATACAGAAGGACTACAGAGGTTAAAAAAATGGCAGATCTGCCAGAAGAAAGAACTGAGGCATCCCCTCCCTTTACATACTGTGGCATAGATTATTTTGGCCCCTTCATCGTAAAGGAGGGAAGAAAGGAATTAAAATGATATGGATTGCTGTTTACTTGCTTGTGTTCTAGAGCTGTGCACATAGAGACACTAGATGACTTGACAACAGACGCTTTCATGGATGCACTTAGAGTGTTTATAGCCATCAGAGGGCCTGTACGCCAAATGAGATGCGATCAGGGAACAAATTTCATGGGTGCAAGAAGAGAGTTTTCTGAGTTGCTCAAGGGGATGGATCAAGAACGTCTTCGAGCAATCAGTTGCGAATTTGTAGTCAGTGTCCCATCAGCGAGTCATATGGGTGGAGTCTGGAAACGCCAGATTCGAACAATCAGAAGCATCCTGACCACAATGTTAGACAAGCCTGCTAGCAGACTTAACACCACGACTCTTAGAACATTTCTTTATTAGACAATGGCCATAATCAACAGCAGACCATTAAGTGTTGAACATCTTCACGATCCTACCGGTCCAGAACCCCTCACTCCCAATCACATACTAACCATGAAATCGTCAGTCATTTTGCCACCTCCAGGAAAGTTCAGCAAAGAAGACATCTATCTGCGCAAGAGGTGGAGAAGAGTGCAGCTCCTGGCAAATTAATTCTGGCAGCGATGGAAACGTGAATATCTATTAAATCTCCAACAACACAAGAAACGGCAAAGAACATCACAAAATTCACAAGTAAATGACTTTGTGATACTACAAGATGACAGCGCTCAAAGAAATTAATGGAAGCTTGCCAGGGTAGTGGAAACTTACCCTAGTGCCGACGGCATTGTGCGAAAGCTGAAGCTACTAGTCAGTGACACTACATTTCTTAAAGGGGTCATACGACGTTGCTGTGTTGTGTATTTGGTGTAATACAATGCGTTTATGCGGTTTAAGGTTAAAAAAACACATTATTTTCCATATAATGTACATTATTGTTTCTCCTCTATGCCTTTCTGAAACGTATCGATATTTACAAAGCTCATCGTTCTAAAAAAGCGAGATGTGCTCTAATTGGTCAGCTATCCAGTGCATTGTGATTGGCTGAATGCCTCAAGCGTGTGACGAAAATGTTACGCCCCTTAACATACTGTGATGCCTCCACCATTCAGTTCAATTTGGTGAACTGGTTCGACCGGTTCACTAAGAAGATCCGGTTAAATAGAACGATTTGTTCGCGATCCGGACATCACTAGACAAGACAAAACCAATAAAACCCATTACAAGTGAGGCATTTGTTGCATCCAGTGGGGACATAATTTCTGATTATAATGACTTATACTGTCTTTTTATACGTTGCGCCGCGTATCGCGCTGCGTAAACATAAAACCATGTCTGCATTTGTAATCGGAGAAACAACAAACAACAAGCCTACTCTATACTGCTCAAAACTCGCGTTTGAATCATCATTGAAACTATTTAAATATAAAAAAACGTACCTGCAGGCTGTGAGTCAGAAACGCCAGACTGTCCTTGCAAATTTGGAACTGCCCAACTTTATAGAAACAGCCTTTGTGCCAGGCTCAGGAAAGAGTCCTCATCCATCCTCCATAAAATGTACAGCACACATTTGAATATTTGGGTTGAACTGTTCTAGAACAGTGTTGTAAATACAACTTAACCACTGATTTCTAGTTGTGTCCTGTTTTGAAAGGCCAAACGAAGTAGTTTCGCTTTCACAACGAAACACACAGTGACTCCACAATATGGCAGCGGCGGCAACAGCGAGAATAAAAGTTAAGCTGCCTTTCTTTGCATGAACATTTGGGCGGCATAATGCAAATCTTCCCACATTGTGACATAGACATGTGGCCGTTTTAGGAAGGTGTGGTTGACTCTTAACTTTTATAAAGAATATCTCTTTGGATTTGAGACTTCCATTACAGCTCGTACCTGCTAAAAAACATCTGTTTTGGTTCTGATTATCATGTTTATCATGTTCGTTACCATATGAGTTTAAACTTCTGATATAAGGTTTTCTGAGTGCACACATCCGAAGCACACGGACAGAAAGCGGCTGTCACAGCATGTGAGTATTAAACTAAGTTCTCATTCACACACAAGTTTATGTTACAAACACATGAGTTACAAAACAGTCGGTTATTAGATCTGATCGGCATGTTAATTTTAGATCTGTGTGGCAGGCAGCAGCAATATACAGTAAATAAATCAATAAATCCACTGCTCTCTTGTGTCCTCTGAGGCTGGGACGCTAAATAGTGTTCTGTGCTCGTCTGTGCAGTCAAAGGCAGAACAGTTAGCATGTTTTGCTCAAACTTTCACCATGGCATTAGAGCTGGTACACCGTTGTCGCTTGTGAAATCAGAATGACGGCGCTGTGTGTGTAAACCTACAGATTAAGGGGCGGTAATATTATAATGAGATCACTAGGGGAGCGAAATCAGACGCACTCGTTTTTTTCAGACGTTTGCAGAAAAAGGCATACCAAAACAAAGTTACTGGGTTAATCTTTTTCAGGTTTCCTTGGTTGGTAGATGCACTGGGGACCTGATTATAGCACTTAAAACCTGGAAAAGTCAGATTTTCATGATATGTCACCTTTAAAGGAAAGCCACACACTAGATCAGTTTACTTAGAAAGTCCTATCCACAAGGTAATTACTTTAATTGAGGCCAATTAAGTCAGACACATGAAACAGTTACACTCATGTACACCTGACTTTTTTTTCCTTCAAAAAACAAAACAAAACAAAAGATTGTTGTTGATTTTACTTCAATATATTTGTTTAAAGGAACATCCCACATTTCAAGTAAATGAGTGATTTTGGTGGGAGTGTAAATGCTGTTATGTAGATGTTCTGTATATTTGTTTCATAATTAATTATTTTGTAATTTCTTGTAATAATTAATTTGAGCTCCAATTTAAAAATGTGATTGAGTTGTAATGTGATGTAAATTCATTTGGTGTACTTTAAAACATAAGGAGCCAGAATGCGTCAATTTAACGGAAATTACGTGCTTGTTAGTCGCCCTGATGGACTGATGATGAGCGGACACATCACAAGGCTCTGCCAAGTTAAAATACTTTTAAGTTTAAAATCAGTGTTGTCGCAAGCCAAAAGGACAGTAAGGAAGATTTTCATAAACTCAAAGACCTCTTTTCATGACAAGCGGCCAACGAGGTATATTTTTTTTACATAATTTACATTATTACAATACCTTTCTCCCCATCCTGGCACAAATGACTCGATTAGTTCCGGGTTTGATGAAGGCCCGCCTTCCGAAAAACAAAATGTGATGTGATTAGTTTGGTATCCCAGTGCGTTGTGATTGGCGAACAGTTTAGACGGCGTTTCAGTACTGCCCCACCCCTTGCCAAAGCAGCAAGTTCCGTCTGCTTTTAGTCTGGTAAACTGCATTTAGTTAAGGATGGCGTCAATATTGCCATATCAATTTGAGCCGGATTCAGACCCAGAGAATATCGAACAAGAGGATCGCGCAGAACCTTTGCATATTGCAAGACATTAGAGTGGTAACGTTACTGTTTTTTTTTGTCTACATCACGTTTTAGATAGGATGTCAACAACCGCTTAAAAATAACTGATTTTACTATGTACAGATAAGTGCATATGCATTATTTTGATTGCTATTTAATTCTAACATTATAACATGAATTGCAGTTAAACTGTTTACAGTTTAATTTATTTATACCATAGTCCAGTGTTTCCCAGGCGGCATACATATGCAAATTCATATTTGCAGCCAGCAGGAAGCGCTGTTGGAGTGGTAGAGATCAAGGTTTCCCCGGTAATGGCTGTACATAAAGCAGCGCTCCGCTCAAAAAAACACTGCTTTATCAGACATTACATGCTAGATTAAATGAGAATGACATCCAGTTTTCTGAAGACAGTTGGTTTCCTTTAGAAATACAGTGATATAAAAACACCCAAGAAATACAGTGATATAAAAACACCCACACTCAGTGTATGGGAAACACTGTAGTCTCATAATTGAAGTGTAAATTCTGCAGATTACATCATTGTCCAGTATTGTACTGTCAGCAATTTATTTTAAAAACGTTTTCATAATTGTAACATACACATTTACATACATAATTATTCAGGTGCATGTGTGCATACATATGCAAATTCATATTTGCAGCCAGCAGGAAGCGCTGTTGGAGTGGTAGAGATCAAGGTTTCCCCGGTAATGGCTGTACATAAAGCAGCGCTCCGCTCAAAAAAACACTGCTTTATCAGACATTACATGCTAGATTAAAGGAGAATGACATCCAGTTTTCTGAAGACAGTTGGTTTCCTTTTGTCTGATGCACTCAACCAAGCGTTCTAACCACAACCTCACCCCTCCCCACCCCTTGGAATTTCCGTAGGCGGGAATTATTTTAATGATATTGTAATGGGCCACTTTGTGATATCACAAAACCCGGAAAACAAACGCTGTAGTCCAAACGAGCTGTTCGTTGTAGTTCTTGAAAAGGGATTTTTTTTTAAACGAAATATCTCCCTTTGGAGTGGACTTTGAGATTTGTAAGTTTGAAGATCTTTTTTATGCCCAAACATACACACTACACACTGACTAAAATTCAAAAAGTGAAAAAGCATAATAGGACCCCTTTAAGACGTCAAAGGCGCGAAAGACATAAAGAAGACAACCCTAAGAATTAAACGCCTGTTCTAAAGAACCAACCTGTGTCTGTTGTCGTGGAGAGAGCTACATCTTATATCTTATCTTAAATGTCCAAGAAATCATGATATTATCCCAGTAAATGTTAAAAAATACATAAACCCTGTAAAGGAATATGCATTTCTTAAGCAAAAGCTTGTGTTTTTAAGTTGCAGATTGAATACAGCATGTTTCTTTTACTCACATAATTTCACTTCAGTTCATTTGAAAGGCATCCTCTGACACAGAAGTAGAAACAAACCAATAAATGAATGAATAACTTAGCTTGTTGATTAAGCACCTTGAGTAACTGATAAGTAGCAGTTACTCAATTTGCTGATTAATTATATGCTTTTTAATTGGGAACGGCTGTGAATTGGAGAGGCGTATGGTCTGAATTACAGAGAAGCTGCTGGGTACACATTACTTCAGCTCTCCCTTAAGTATACTCTTACTCCTTCTCACTAACTCTCTCTCTCTCTCTCTCTCTCTCTCTCTCTCACTCTCTTCTTTTCAGATCTGTTGAGATTGGTGTCTGACAACTAGGTGTGCAAGGAAAGACTGGCTACCCCTTGAGCTAATACTGCTTCAAGGCAACCCTGATAGCACACATACATCTCGGAGACGTCTATTTGATGTCTGCATTTACATCTGCAAGACGTATTTTTTAGAGTGTTTGCTCATCTGCAATACGTCTATAGGACGTTTCCTTTTAGATGTCAAATAGACATCTATTAGATGTCTTTAAGATGTTTATGATTTAGAATGTATGTAAAAATGACATCTGAAAGACTTCTGTCAGATGTTTGTCCAAAGCAGATGCTTTCCACATCAAGAGCTCTTTAACAGACATCTTGCAGACATACATGTGCTATCTGGGACGTGACATTGGGCCTCATTTACGAAACGAACATACAACAGAAAATTGGGCGTACGGTCGTTTTAATACAAAACTTGATATGTATCAATATGGACGTGAGCGGTGGCTACGATCAAATCTCACGTCTGGTGTCAGCTCATGTACGCAAGTTTTTGAGTTACCTGAACTTGCGCGCAGCATAGTATGATGGAGAATTCTAGAATGACAGCGTTTTGTTCATTTTTATTTTCCTGACCGTCAAACGAAGCTCATTAGTCGATGTTAACCAGTAAGATTAGAATGTCTTTTTTATTTATTTGTATACAGGACTTTAGATTTATATGCGTGGATAACAAGACCAACAAGACCATGAGGATTCAATCGTCGCATCATGCACCTGTTGTGCTTAACTGTGAAAGGAGAAAACAGAAACAAGACCATGAGGATTCAATCGTCGCATCATGCACCTGTTGTGCTTAACTGTGAAAGGAGAAAACAGAAATTAAGTCTATAAAAGGAATAAAAATAAATAGGATCACACTAAATATATAATAGGCTATAATATAATTAACAGATTAACAAAAGGGGAAAAACACTGTGCAACAAGTATAGGCTGCCCGTTTTTGTGACACTCTTAATGCATTTTATTTATTTTCTTTATGTCTTTTCATCATCTGTTACACGGATATTAGAACACGAGTGAAGTATAAAGCCATGTTTAGGCTACATATAATGAATAATAGTTATGCAAACAAATGTCACAAATATGGCAAAAATGGAAACATTTGGATTCTTGAGACAGGCTCGTGAGCCCAATGCCGTTTCAGTTTTGCTTGACATTTGTATGCTGTTTATAATGAATGCCACTGTAGCCTAATTAGTTTTATTTTATAGTTGAATATATACTTTTATAACTACTTATTTTTCATTCTTGTTCTGTTCTGAATACTGTTAAATTTAAAATATTTGTTCTAGAGTTAGGGGAACTAAATAGGCTGTTTATATTTACGAGTAGCCTATTTTAATATACATATAAATTACATAAATTAATGTATTTATATGCGTGGATAACAAGACCATGAGGATTCAATCGTCGCATCATGCACCTGTTGTGCTTAACTGTGAAAGGAGAAAACAGAAATTAAGTCTATAAAAGGAATAAAAATAAATAGGATCACACTAAATATATAATAGGCTATAATATAATTAACAGATTAACAAAAGGGGAAAAACACTGTGCAACAAGTATAGGCTGCTCGTTTTTGTGACACTCTTAATGCATTTTATTTATTTTCTTTATGTCTTTTCATCATCTGTTACACGGATATTAGAACACGAGTGAAGTATAAAGCCATGTTTAGGCTACATATAATGAATAATAGTTATGCAAACAAATGTCACAAATATGGCAAAAATGGAAACATTTGGATTCTTGAGACAGGCTCGTGAGCCCAATGCCGTTTCAGTTTTGCTTGACATTTGTATGCTGTTTATAATGAATGCCACTGTAGCCTAATTAGTTTTATTTTATAGTTGAATATATACTTTTATAACTACTTATTTTTCATTCTTGTTCTGTTCTGAATACTGTTAAATTTAAAATATTTGTTCTAGAGTTAGGGGAACTAAATAGGCTGTTTATATTTACGAGTAGCCTATTTTAATATACATATAAATTACATAAATTAATGTAGCCTAATTTTTTCACTCAAATATACGTCACAGTAGAGAAGCAAAGATGATCACAGATTCCATTTAATGCCAACTTCAAGAAAATTCTGCACTTTGTCATGTACCTTTGAACAAAACTGTGGCTCAAAAAAGAGATAAACAGTACTAACAATTTCAAATGATTGAATATTTTACCCAGTTTCTTTAGAATTTGTTCAGGAACTGAAAACTGATGTTAAAATAATATTACCACAGTAGCTTTAGTTGAGCAGTAGCAATTATGATCCTTCTATTGTTTTGGAGAAAATGCAAGCATTTCCCAGTCCCATCTGTTTTAGTAGACATCTTAACAAACCCAATCAGCATATTCTGTAATGTTGTGCTTAACTGTGAAAGGAGAAAACAGAAATTAAGTCTATAAAAGGAATAAAAATAAATAGGATCACACTAAATATATAATAGGCTATAATATAATTAACAGATTAACAAAAGGGGAAAAACACTGTGCAACAAGTATAGGCTGCCCGTTTTTGTGACACTCTTAATGCATTTTATTTATTTTCTTTATGTCTTTTCATCATCTGTTACACGGATATTAGAACACGAGTGAAGTATAAAGCCATGTTTAGGCTACATATAATGAATAATAGTTATGCAAACAAATGTCACAAATATGGCAAAAATGGAAACATTTGGATTCTTGAGACAGGCTCGTGAGCCCAATGCCGTTTCAGTTTTGCTTGACATTTGTATGCTGTTTATAATGAATGCCACTGTAGCCTAATTAGTTTTATTTTATAGTTGAATATATACTTTTATAACTACTTATTTTTCATTCTTGTTCTGTTCTGAATACTGTTAAATTTAAAATATTTGTTCTAGAGTTAGGGGAACTAAATAGGCTGTTTATATTTACGAGTAGCCTATTTTAATATACATATAAATTACATAAATTAATGTAGCCTAATTTTTTCACTCAAATATACGTCACAGTAGAGAAGCAAAGATGATCACAGATTCCATTTAATGCCAACTTCAAGAAAATTCTGCACTTTGTCATGTACCTTTGAACAAAACTGTGGCTCAAAAAAGAGATAAACAGTACTAACAATTTCAAATGATTGAATATTTTACCCAGTTTCTTTAGAATTTGTTCAGGAACTGAAAACTGATGTTAAAATAATATTACCACAGTAGCTTTAGTTGAGCAGTAGCAATTATGATCCTTCTATTGTTTTGGAGAAAATGCAAGCATTTCCCAGTCCCATCTGTTTTAGTAGACATCTTAACAAACCCAATCAGCATATTCTGTAATGCAGTTCACACTAGGCAGGAAAACTAATTAAATTCTGCAAGGTGTCCATATTTTTATATAATACTTAAATGAGGTAAAAAAAAATAAAAAAATAAATATATATATATATATTTGCTTTTTGTTCATGATGGAGACAAGAGATTCGACTCAAACTCTACATTTCTCCCATGGACTACTTAATGCGTTGGGAGTAGTTTGAAGCCACAACTACTAAATCTCAACCAAAAAAGAGTTTGCAAGCAAAAAGGGAAAGTGACAGTGCCCGTAATAAAACATGAATCAAGATGGTTTGCATTTACAAAACAATGTTTATGTTGTTAACTATGCCAATTTATAAACCAGTTACTACTTTTGTCTATTTTGCTTATAAATAGTCTTTCTAAGTTACAGTTAATAACAACAACATATAAGATATACTGACCTGCTCATAAGAAATCTTTTAGAAATCCATCTTTCGTTAGTGACATTCTCACTTATAAGGTGCTCATCTGTAACCAATAGCACAGCGGTGCACCTCAAGCCATCAGATTCATCCGCACATAATAGCGGAGCCAAAGCACAGCTCTCATAATTACCAAAATCTCTGCAAGTAACTTGTCATTTTATGCTTCTAACTTCTAGAGGGCCTAAAGTTACATAGTGTAGCCTATTAATAAAGATTATATGATATTTAAAACAAATTTGGGGTGGAGTCACAGGAGTGTGGTAAGCACAAGTTTATATACCCTTGCATTGCATTGTGATTGACAGGATTAGATAACACATTCATCCTGCCTTTCATGTCAAACCTTTCATGTCAAACTATGGTAGCTTTGAAGCAGGTGAAATGGAAATAAAAATGAAAGAATGGGGGGAAAACAGGAAATCTACAGGATTTTTTTTTTGAAAGCATCATGGGAACCATTGTTTCACGGCCAACTCTCTCTAACAGCTTGAGCATGCATTAGGATGCTATTGTGCGAATTCTCCAGAGTTTTCCCTATCTTTATTCTTTAAATTATTTTTTATTTTTATTTTGAAGTAACCAAGGCTGCATGAGTTGCTTTGAGAGGATTAAACTGCAACACCTCCAGGCGAGGTTTGCTCATCGTACAATTTGTTTGAGCATTTGCAGCTTCCGTTTCACAGCCAGATGGCTGAACAAATCTGAGTTTAACACAAACAAGGTGCAATGTTTTCCTCAACAGTATCTTTTTAATGATTTTTATGATTTATATGGTGGGATACCTCTTCAACTGCTCTTGATCTATGACTTGTTTGATTAGTCTAGCAATACATATGTTGCCTATGGGCACTATATGTGTTGAGCAGCAATGTGAAGTGTGAAAAAACGTACAAGACAGTAAAATGTGTCTTCGTCTGTTCCCACCCTAGCTGCTCTGTAAATAAAATAGGGTACATTTCTCTGCAAGCATTGAATACAGTTATCCAGGGTGAATTCAAAATGTTATAATACATCTGTGGAAATGAAAATGAATTTGGTGGCCCACTTTACAGTGCCTAATCAGGTAGAAGCATTCTCTCTCACACACAATGTTTAGAATCAAATATTAGCATACCGTGTCCTGCAATGTTATATTAATATCATTGAGATACCATAGTTTTTATTAATATTTTGATTCAGTTTTATTTTAATAATTTCCATTTTTATTTTACTTTTAAAGTTTTATTAATTGTGTTATGTGTTTTTATGTGGATTTTAGTAGTTTTTGTTTTTATTGCTTTTAGAATTTATATGTCTGCTTTAGTTTAAGTTATTTTAGTACATTGTTCAATTACATTACAATGAAAAATTTTGCCTTGGCTAAAACTAGCTGTCATAACTTTTTTATATTTTATTTTATTTCAGTTAATGAACTTTGGTCAGTCTAATCAGATAGAAGAAACAGATCACAATATATAATAACTGGTTCACTTTCACACTGAAATGCAAGGTTGAATTGTGTAAACTGCATAACAATATATTGTATTCTGTGTGTCTGCTTTCATTTAATACTGCACATTATTGCAGATGTAGTAAGACATCTCATCTATTTGTCTGTGAATACAGAAAAATTGGATGTATGCAGTATTCATACTGTACTGTATAGTGCAAAAATAGTATGCATAGTATGTTTGTATGCTATAGCTGACATTGCCATTCTCCTCTCCTGTCTCTTTTCCCCCTCTCTGTCTCCATCTGTTCAGCTGCAATTTACCGGATTCATTACTTAGATTGAATCATTGGTCAGGCAGTTCTCATGGCAAGCATTCAAGTTAGCATAATGCTAGAATTTCCCGTTGCTGTATACACGTGTCCAGTATGCCCATCTGTGAATGAAATTGCTCACTGTTGTCCAAAAGTGAAAATTCTTTCATCATTTACTTAACGTAAAACACAAATGGAGAAATTTTGAATAATGTGTTTTACATGCTGTTTCTTTTTTACGTGAATGGGGACTGAAGATGTTTGCCGTATTTCTGGAGGCCAGTAATTTAAATACGAATCCACGCGATTGGGAATTTTTCTTTAGGGTTGAATTTTTCTAATTTTGTAACAGGTTCAGGTTTATCATGCGAATTCACTGTTGATCAACAGAAAGCTTCTTGGTTGTGTGCTTCATATATACCGCTACAATATTGACTATAGACAATGGACTTTTTTTGTCAGTGAAATTTCGCTAATGTGATCGCACGTTAAAAGTATCGTAAAGGTGATCCATATGACTTGGGCCCTGTATTCCAGGTCTTCTGAAGTCATATGAAAGCTTTGTATGAACACCGCGAAAGTCATTATTCACTGTGACTTTAAATATTAGTCATTATTCAGTCTGACTTTAAATATTATGAGACAAAATAGGTTGTCTGCTTTAGCATAGTTGTCTTTTGGCACCCTGAGCATAATCGATTTCAGTCAACTATTTGAAAATACATTTGAAAACAAAACAAAGCTCGTTTCTGTAATCTTTTTGTATGTAAATCTGTGATGAAATGATAACTAATGACAGGCTTCTCATGTTTTGTTGAGATAATGGAAAATGCTTGAGTAGCATTTCTATCCATCTTATATTGCAAAGCGGAAGTAACCTATTTTCTGTTTTTTCTATTTCTATTATTGATTGATTGTTTGATTGCTATTGGAGCAAAAAAAAAAAAAAAAACCCGTAAAATTCATAGCCTAATTGTTGTAGTTTCCATTCACCACTGTAAAAGTTTCCCCGTGTATGACAACTTCCGCTTCTGAGAAACCCGGGAATGTGAAAAAGGCAACAAAATGCAAACACTAACTATTAGCTCTACAAACCAGTGTGTTTATGTTTATGATAAAAATAAAAATAAAAATGACATTAAACGCCGGTTTGCCATATAAAGCAGCTAGACGGACTGTTTTTGTAAAGGTAAGACAGGAAGTGGGCGACAAGTTGCAAAAATGAAAGTGCATATAATGTTCTCAGAAGAACGCCACTTGGCCTTCGATGCCCGAGCGCGATGCATCTTTGCTTTACCTGAGTTGCGTGAAGGATGCTGCACACGGAGGATCGTTGTTTGACATGCACTGACATTTAAAATGAGCCATCTGAACCGTGCACATCTCATGCTTTTCGACTCCTGAATGCACAGCGTGATTAAACGCGTGCTTTTAATCGGAGCGTAATCTCCGTAGGCTCCTCTGACACATTTCTAAACGTTTGTTATGGGGGTCAACACAACAACCCGAGGCGGTTGGATTTGATTGTGACTACTATTACGTGTTTTTACTTATATATCATATATACTTGGATCATCATTTGCGCTCGTTGATCAGCTAAGCTTGTGAAACTGCTTAACGCGGGTTGTTGTGTGTGGTGCTGAAAGGACAGCTCCCACCACAGCGGATCATATGGATCAATATTAGGGGTCTGACAGTGGCGCTCTCGGGCTTTAATGGCTGTGGCACGCAAGATCAAAACTCTGCTGACGGTCAACATTCTGGTGTTCGTCGGGATCATCTTGTTCTCCGTCTACTGCAGGATCCAGGACCGATCCGAAGAGCTCGTGCAGATCGGGAGGCTGTCGGATCAGAGACTGCGAGGCAGGAATGCCAAAGTTACGAACTCCATGGACAGACAGTCCATTCTCAAAAGGCTCGAGCGACTAGAAGATGTGGTCTATAACCAGTTAAATGGTATGTGGGCTTTAAGCATCTTTCATTAATAAGTAATTTATAGGCATTATATAATGCATGATAGATCAGTCTTTAATGGACATTTAGATATGATTTAATCTAGATTTACACTTTGGATTTTACTGGGATTGTCATCCTAATACTTTAACACATGACAATTACTACAGACTTGTTTATGATGCAATAAACATGTTAAGAAGAGCAAGACAGGATTAGGTGCACGTAATCCTAATTTGACCTATCAAAATATATCAATAAAATGGATTACATATAATGATCTTTTAAGAATTACATGGTTTCATAATGTTATTGATTAACTTTAAAGTGATATCAGAGAAATTAGAGAAAGTATAGTATAATAGCAAGGATGCAGTGCCTGATTGTAACAGCAAAACATTTTGTCCTGTGTCTCTATATTGAGGGTTTTCAGAGGTGTTGTTCTGAAAGTTTTGTTACATTATGAAAACAAAGTACGCATTTCTCAGAGTATGTCATGTCTTTCCATATGTGTATTAATTTCTTTTAGATCAGTTGAATTACTATAAAATTAACGTGCAATTCTACATGCTTGTCTAAATCTGGGACAAAAACGGACCTCTCCGTACGAACTTGTACATAATTTAATAAGTAGAGGAGGATAATTTTTATCTATAGGATGTTTACTTATTTTTTAATAGCAAAATATAATGCAAGAAACAGCAGTGAATCATAGTTAAAATAATTAAATATTACAATTATTCAAAATTTCCTATAATATTTTGAGAAATTTTGGTTGGGAGAAAAATGCTATATTTTCAGATATGCATGCTCACATAAAATCTACAGATTTCCACAGAATTTTATGTCCTGTCATTAAACAAATTATCTTTCCCCAGTGTGTTCATATATTTTTGGCTAATTTGATTGCTTTTGGCCGTCAATGCAAATATTTGTCAGATTTGTTTAGTACATTTTAGTATTTTTAAATCCATTTTACATAATCCCATAGATTTTACCCCAAAATCATTGCAGAAAATAATCAGCAGCTTCTATCTGGGCCTGTAAAAAGGAATTGTCCTACTGCGATCTTACTTCCCATGCATTCGTCCTTGCCTTAGCCACACTCCCTCTTAGTTCTTTTCTTAGAATATTAGAGCCCATTTCCTTAATCATTATGTTCCTAGACTAGCATTTTCTCCTGGAGAACATGTGAAGGTCATAGTTCATGTGATGTGCTATCTTTCTTTTAAACGTCTGTTAAAGATCTCTCACTCCCTGTTTGCTTTTCCTAGTACATCTATTTGATCTGATTGTTATTCTGTAAGACCAGCACCATTTGTGTATGAAGGGGGTCACTTTGTCAGTTTGAATTATCCTTCTTGCATTTGGAAGAAAGCCAAGAGGCACTGCTTCACAAAACAGCCCTCTAATGTGCCCTTCTGATTGAGAGGGCTTTCATTCTGCACAAGTGCCACCACATATTTCCCCCGGAGGCTTTTCCACTCTGTAGAATTCATCAGTCTGTCACAAATCTTCCCAATGTTGGGGCCGTTATACATTTTATTTCGACACATATTTATCTGTTGCACATAAAACTTGTGCGATAGTGTGAGGCACTCGCTGATTGTATGTGATATTGAGATTGGAATTGGTTTTCTCTTGAGGTTTTCACATTTCTGTTGCCGTATTTGCTTCCGGTGGTGATTTGACGTAATTTGTTTGTTTTTCAGTTGTTTATTGTCCTGACAATGAGACCCAGAGGATTACTCCAAGGTCCAATTGCATTTCTAGGACACAGCGAGTTTTACAAAAAAGCAGTATTTGTTTGGTTGTTGGTGGCACACTCATCCCTTGAAATATCTTAACAAATATGATGTAAATGTTTGTATGACCATTAGTTGGATGAATAATGTCCCAGAGAACATATAAAACATTATCACCAACAATATTTCTGGTTTGAGATGGACAGATGTGCTATCATTTCCCACCTCATCATAGTACCCAGCATGATCATGCACCTGGTTTTTCGTGGGGGCACCAGTGGTGTGCTTGACAAAATTGCAATTCACCTTGACAGCCGGTGATAACCATGCATTGTGTTGCATGCAGTATATGCAAGAAGGTGTGACCTGACTGGATGGACCACATTTAGACATGAATGGATGATTTGTTACCACAGTTTCTTTAGACAAAAACTTGTTTTTAACCTACAGTATTCGAAAACAGAAAGAAATAAACAAACAAACAAACTTTTAAAAATATAAATTAGAAGTACATTCCACCTTAGTTTGAATGGGCATAATGTGGTATAAAAGCAATTTAGATTTTTTTTTCTAAATTATTAATTATTTAATTGTTTTTCTCTCAATGGCATAAAGATTGTTATATAGTCTCTCATTTACTGTGGATTTATAGACAAGTTCATGGCCAGTTTGTATATGTGATGATCAGTTTGTGTATAGTTGAAGATTTTCTGAAAATTTACTCACTCTCAGGCCATCCAAAATTTGGATTGAACCGATTTGAAGAAATTACAGCATTACATCAGTTCCTCATCAATGGATCGTCTTTAGTAAACGGGTGCCATCAGAATGAGCGTTCAAATAGCTGATAAAAATAATCCACAATAATCCACACAACTCCTATCTGTGCATATTTCTCTCCTGATTTACATGAGACGACTTATTCACTGGAGAAAGCAATAGAGGACTCCTATTTTAGCCAGAAGCAACAATTTGAAGTTAATAATGTCTTGATGAATTTATTCATTATAAACACGCACCTTTTCACTTAAGAAGATGTTAATTGATAGACTGGAGTCATGTGGATTACTTGTGGATTATTATGATGTTTTTATCAGCTGTTTGGACTCTCATTCTGATGGCACCCATTAATTGCAGAGGATCCACTGCTGAGCACAAATGATGTAATGCAAAATTTCTCCTAATTTGTTTCAATGAAAAATCAAACTCGTCGACATCTTGGAAGGCCTGAGAGTGAGTACATTTTCAGCAAAGTTTCATTTTTGGGTGAACTATAAAGTTGTATTGTGAAGTTCTTCATTGCTTCACCCAACTAAATCTGACCTTGTGGAATAGCTGTGAAGCTAAAGTGTGAGAGTGAAATGGAAATGTCACTATAAAATCTGAATAGTTTGGGAATTACTTAAAGAATGCATGGAAATCGGTTACCTTGAGTCGCGGGAGTCGAATAAATTTACATTGTACAAAGCTACACAGTACAATAAACTATGACTGCATAGATTAAGGTAATCAGTGCAGGAAGTGAAATGCCATTTACCATTTTGACAAAATTAACAAGTGCATTTAACAGTGAAAACCAAAGTGCAAAGAGCAGTTCAGGGATAGGTAGTGGGTCATTTCTGACAGTTGTTTAGAAATGCTGGATTATTGTGAAAAGACCCTTTATCTGACTGCTATTACAAATGCAGAGCTATGAGAATGGGCAATTACCCCCCTGATTAGGCAGCAGATCTACCGTGAGCATTACTGCTAAAGTGTGCTTAATTTCTACAGCTGTAGTTCGGTTTATCTCCACAAACAAAGATGCGGTAGACTGAACAGATTTCTACCTGGGAAGTGATATAAACAGAGAAGACTACATTACCAAACAGTTTGGGTTTTTATACCATTTTTTATGTTTTTAAAAGAAGTCCCTTCTACTCACCAAGGCTGCATTTATTTGATCAAAATTATAGCAAAAACAGTAATATTTTGAATTTGTAAAAATTCAAAAAATGTCAATTAAAAAAAAAAAATATCTAAAGGATTGATGATACAGATTAATTTTCACAGCTTTCTTTGATCATTTTTACCCTAGGGTATGAATAATTTTGAGCCCAACTGTATACATTTGGCTTATTACACCATGCGGGAACCCCCCGTAGGGTTGAAGCTGTGTAGGTGCCCCATTTGCCATACATCTATAAAAAGTACAATGTTGTTCTGATACAGTGTGCTAGTACTATAGATAATGTAATTTCTCTGACTCTAGAAATTTAGATTCAGACTGAAATTCAATGGAAGAAATATCAATATCAATAATTGCTTACAATGTATAACAATTGATACTATATTGAATTATTTTTGTAAAATATTTTTCCTAATTTAGATCACCCAATTTAAATAGCTCACATGTTCCAACTCAGATATTTTGATTGTCTTGTATGACTTCATGCATTTCGGTTATAAATCAGGCTAGTAGGTACAGGATTTCAATACCGTCGATGCTTTATGGCCCAGCACCTTTTAGTGTCTAATGCATTAACAGTGGACTCTAAGGGGACTGTCCATTCCTGCCATTCAGTCCCCTTAACCACATTTTCCTCATGAATATTTATACTGCATTAGCATCAATTTTGACATGCATTTATATATTCATTCAGCCCCTAAATCACCTCAAAAAAAAAAAATCCATAGGTTTTTTTTTTCCAAATCTTGTTACATAATTTAAAGCAGTTCTGAGTGAAGTGCAGTGGACCTGAATGTTGTCAGAGCACTTTACGAGAAAGTAGGAGATAAACATGACTCGTTGTCACGGAATGCCAGGAGAGACAAGGTAAGATCCAATAGCAGTTTATTGAAAGTAACAAATGATAAAAACAGAACAAAAATGTGGCAAAAGGTAATCCAAAACATAAACACCAAGAACATGAGACTACTATGAACTCAGACGACAAATACAATCTGGCAGCAATGACAGAGAGTGAGCATGGTATATATAGATGGGATAATGAGTAAATGATAAACCGGTGATCATGACCGGAAATAATAAACAGGTGCTAATGATCAGAACAGAATTAACAAGCAAGGGACTATGGGAAATGGAGTTTAACACATAAAACAGGAAAGCACCCTCAAGTGGCCAGTCCAGGGCACCACAACCAGACAC